TTGGACGGGCAGTCAAACTGGGAGTAGTCATAATGGGAATGAACCAAATTTACTCACTTGTTCGTAAAAGCTTAACTGTCAGTTCACCTGAATCACTTGATTGCGGAAACAATATCAGAAATTTTTAGTGACCTGTTTTTGATGAACCAAATAAACAAATAACATTCATTGAGACCCACGTTCATACCGCTTTTATAATGAGGCGAAACTGAATGCATAATTAAAAAACTAACAATATACAGTCGTCGGTTATAGTCAAATTTCCTCATTAAATCACACTAATCTCGACGTCACATATAGTGAATATATAGATGCTATTCATTGAGACATCCACTTTTCTCAACAACTGTACCTTTACAAAGATGTCGTTCATGATGGTGGACTTATACTGATATATAGAGAATCTCACCCGAGTGTCTCTTGATATTAAATATATCACCACGAGTTGATAAAGTTACAAATATCCGAGGCTTGCCGAGGATATTTTTACTTTTATCAACGAGTGTTGATATATTTGACATCAGAAAACACTCGGGTGAAATTCTATTTATCATTAAATATCACTCTTCATTAGTTTTCAATGCCAAATGTACATTTCTGTTCACGTTATTGCCATTAGACGTGCAGTGTAGTGTAGTCATCAAGTTCATGACGTCATAGCATTTTCAGGGCATTGTTCCAAAAAAACCTGTCAAAGCTGAGTGCTGAGTGCGGCGTTAACCAACCAACATACATTCCCTGGGGCCAAGATCACCTGGTATCACCTATTGCTGCCATTGATACCTACTGACAGAGATTCATAACCATATGACTTGGATATAGTTGGGATCATACGGTGGACTCTCAGAGATTTCTTCTAATCATAAAAATGGTTATGTAGCCATTATTTAGTGAATATATTAACCGTTAACTGACTCTTCTATATCACAATGTATATATTTTAGTATAAGTAACTGTTGTAAATGTTTATCACAAATCATTTTACAATTTTGTACACAGTTTCTTTGACGATACCTGATGACTGGAAAGCGTCTACAGGAACTCCACGTTGGTGGGCAACATGTCCGATGGTGGCAAAGAACGAGAATCCAGCTAAGAAAATGAAAATAACGTCGACAGTGCTCACAAGCACTGCATCCCTGAAACAGAACGTTGCCAGTAGTGAGTGTTATGAAAGCATGTCTCTTAATATATTGCAAGAAGTTAGATACACTGATTCTTTAGCATTAGAAATGATATTTAATTGATGAAGAGTACCATATTTAAACGATCGAAACGTTATGGATAGTAATCATCCCGCATTTCATTACATAAATGAAATACATCAGGAGTATATTCTTTACACATGTATACATACCAAATGTACTCGTCATTCCTGATGATGGATGTGTTCCAATCTAATGTGTACATGAGAAAATGGGGATCCGTTTTGTTGTTGGTGACTTGTTTGTTGATGTCACATTCAGCATCATTCCACCTTTATGACAGCGGTAAATACATAATCGAGTCTGGATCGGACATCGGCGTGATTAACGTAACTTCCATCGACCTACTGGGATAGTATGACATGCATCAACCAAATCTGTGAGTTTACCAATGTTAGTCGCCTTGTACGACAACCATTGGTTGCCGAAAAACAATTATAATCCAGATCTTCGCCAGGCTGTGCACATGTGGGTAAGCTGTATTAGTCTGTCACACCCATTAATGGTTTTATGAACACTTCAGTCAGTTTATCTTAATAGAGTTACCTCTCCCTGTGGAACTCTTCCTGGAGGAGATAGACTTGTGAGTCCTCACAACAAGATGACGTCTGTGTTCAGCAGCTCATTCTTAGGAACCATTATTAACCAAAGTAAGACAATTACACAGTCCCAACAGTGCAAGTTTTATTTCTTCTTATCTCAGTAAAGCTTTGGGTCACTTTCATTGTTACTTTTAGTCAGGAAATGAGTATTAAATGTAGTTTTAAACGTTTTGAGCTTTCTCTATGTTTTGGATCTATTGGCCGAGGACATAGAATTTAACTTCACTGAAAATATTACTCTCTCTTTTTTATCATTGTTTCAGGAATTATTTCCATGAATGAAGTGCATTCTTTGTCTCATTTTGGAATGTATAATATAAGAAATATAAATAAGCTCAAATATTTTGCACATATATATTTGAATGACATTTTGCATTATCAATTCATTACTGATCAATCTATCTATAATTGTAGAACTAATTCGACCCTCTGTATGTCTATTTCAGTGTTTTCACCACTTGTAACTATCAAGACCTACGACATCTAACAACCAAAGTGATGCAATATGTGAAACTGAAACATCATGGACCAACTGCAATGCTGGATCATGCATCAGGAATGATAAACCTTGATGGTTCGGTTAGCTGTCTGTGTATGTTATACAATATTGAATAACTGGTCACAGTACATGTATGTTACTTACAAAATCTTTCCAACACAAGGTACATGCAGCGGGAGACACAGTCCGAGATCTCTAATCAAATCGAAAATTATTTTCACTGTTCATTCAAAATAAAGGGTTATTGTGACCTTCCCTTAGAATTAGCAATTGGTGAGGGACTGGTAAAATAATTTCGTATATGTGTGCGGAACTTTTCGCAGCGTATTGCATTGTATATTGATCCGATTTACAAATGGTCTTCAGCAACCCCTGATTGTCGTAGAAGGTGACTAATGGGGTCGGGTGGTCAGGCTCGTTGGCCTGGTTCACACATGTCACCGTTTCCCAATTGGGTAGATCGAAACTCATGCTGTTGATCACTGGATTGTCTGATCCAGACACGATGATTTACAGACCGCCGCCATATAGATAGAATATCGCTGGGTGCGGCGTTAAACAGTAAGCCAACAAACATTGTATGTTCATCTACCTTAAACAGTTGTTCTTCTTTCTGTTATGTCCAGACATAGTTATGATGTTCCCAAGGCCAATGTTCAAAGAAAATAGAGAGGAACTACAGGCCTCAATCCACATCTGTAGAATTGAAAACACAATCAGGAGTGAGTGAGTGAGTTTAGTTTTACGCCACACTCAGCAATATTCCAGCTATATAGCGGCGGTCTGTATATAATCACGTCTGGACCAGACAATCCAGTGTGAAGTAAGTCAGCGAGCCTGACCATCCAATCTCGTCAGTCGCCTCTTACGACAAGCATGGGTAATTGAAGACCATTTGTAACCCCGATCTTCACGGGAAAACCGCAATAAGGAATTGTGTTATTATGATGAATGAGACACAGATAATTTATTGAATGATGTACACAATTGTTACACAGTCAAACACCGTTGTGTCGATGTTAAAGGGATGTACTTAAGCTACGCTGTGTTTTATTCGATAAAACCGTAAGATAGTCACTATAATGGAATACACAGGGGGCGAGCTTTTCCTCTGGAACAATCGAACAATCGACACATCATAGTTCGACACAACAGTGTTTGTATTTGAAATGACGTTTTTGTTACATTTAATAATAATAATAGTGTTTTGAGGAACAAAAAAAACCCCCGGAACAATTGTTAAGTCCCACTTATAAGTACTCATCTAGACTACCAGTTGTCCGACTTCCATTTTTGTGGAAGCCGCGGTGGCTGAGCGGTCTAGGCGTCTGACTTTGTGTGCTGGCGATTAGGTGCCTGACTCTGAGGGTGTGGGTTCGAATCCCGGATGGGACTCAACCGAACAAAAGTACTAGAATCTGTACTTTACTAAGAAAGTGTAATCCCAAATATATATAACATATGTTACACTCATCTACATGTGCACCAATTTCATTCCATTTTAAGGAATATAAGAAAGATATACCTTGCAGTGCAAAGGTCAAAGGAAGTTACTTGAAATACCGCAAAATTCAGAATGTATATATTGATACGCACTACTGATTAAAAAATTAATTTTGAACGAGAATGTCTGAGTAATAGCAACAAGTAGGACTAAGTAAGATGGTTGATATACACACACAATACCCAAAACACGGGAATTTATAGTTTAAATGGGCAATTCCACCTAACATTAATTCTGTGAGTAATCTGTCAAATTTGGAAATGTCTTACATAAACATTGTGAAAACCTCAAACAACATCTGGGGCGGTGTTGTAGCTTAGTGATTAAAGCGTTCGCACGTCACGCTGAATATCCGGGTTCGATTCCCCACACGGGCGCAATGTGTGAAGCCCATTTCAGGTGTCCTCTGCCGTGATATTGCTGGAATATTGCTACAAGCGGCATACAGCAATACTCACTCAAACAACATCTGAGCAAGAACTGTACGACGCACTTAGAAATCCTTGTAAATATACCACGAACGATATTGTTACTCAAAAGAAAATTCTTTGAAGGTTAAATAAAAGTCACCCCTCTTGTAACACAGTCTAGTGGAGAGGGATTTGTGGAGTGATTGACGATGCCAGATGCTGATGTACCGGAAGCTAAAGTTGAATCACAACATGTTCATTCAATCTGCTTCCCTGTTCCACCTGGCTTTGTTTCAATCAAATTAACTATCGGGTATTAAAACGTTTGATCTAACCCTTCTTAAACAGTCTGACAGCCTTAAACAAATTGGCATTTAGAAGATGGTGTGTACTGGTAAAGGTACTAGTACTTTATGGATGACAACTTCTTTATTATATTACCCGTGAAGGTCTGGGCTAGAATGAACCTTCAGTAACCCATGCTTGTCGTAAGAGGCGACTAAGGGGATCGGGTGGTCAGGCTCGCTGACTTGGTTGACACATGTCATCGGTTCCCAATTGCGCAGATCGATGCTCATGCTGTTGATCACTGGATTGTCTGGTACAGACTCGATTATTTACAGACCGCCGCCATATAGCTGGAATATTTGTGGCGTAAAACTAAACTCACTCACTCATTCACTCTTTATTATATCATAATGCGACGGCATAAAGTATCGCGCTTTTGTGGTCCGACTGACAATCATAACCTAGTTGTCTTAGATGAAGCATATAACTTACTTTTGGATTCAAAAGTTTCTCAAAGTTCGGATTTACAAAGAAGTAAATTCCTGCTGCAGAACCCGGAAGGAGACTTCCCTGGATGATGAAGACAATGACCAGGAGGATGGGAACAGCAACAGTGACGTAAACGACCTCAAATTGAGGAATGTAAAAAACAATCCGTGACTTTATACAAGTGCTTGCAATCGAAAATGCCAGTGCTACAGTTAGAACATCGCACAGCTCGACTTTCGGGAACACCTGGAATCACAGATAATAAAGTTACCTTTCATATAATTGTCATCTCTGTTTTGTTTTTACACGCTATGGATGATTCCATGGCGTTGACAGTTTACTTTTGGTTCAAGGATATTCAGATAGACATGAGAGTAAAACCTCTTTTCACAATGATGATGTTTTAAAACATTATCGAATGGTGAAGACCCCAGGTGTTCCCAAAAAGGCGAGGGTAAATTGCTATGACCTCAGTCACAAACACATTGGAATGCATAATCACATTTACCTTTTTGTCACGAATGTGTCAGATTTGGAAATGTCCTCCTTCTTCATCATAGGAGTTTTTAGAATTTTAAATTATAATAAATTTTAAAATCTAATAATGACGCCCTTGGACGTATTTGAGGTAATGATCGATCAACTGGAATAACAATTGCTCATGAGAAAATGTTATTTGCATGACAGTCAGTGTTCAAGAAAAATATGGAATCTCCACTGCATTAGCAAATTTTAGAGCACATTTTACTGTATAAAATGTAATATTAAATATGCCACACATATGCAACACAGAATTGCTATGCCAGTTGATATTATAAAACAAACGACATTAAGCTCACATTCTACAATCAGTTGTCAACTATATTACCAACTAACATGAAATTGAATGCTTTTTACCTTTCCTGAAATGTTGATACCTCGAAACACAAATAAAAACATGATCACACAGGTCAGAGCCATGCACCCAACGAGCGGCCAGCGTACACCACCGAGGTCTTCCAGGCTGTCAGTCATCTGTAGTGCCTGGAATCTAGAAAGATAATAAAGTAATAAACACAAATGGATTGTTGGAATGCTCTTGAAAGGAAAAACGCAGAGGGGTTGATATATGCGTAAGACTGGGTGTCAATGAGCTTATCGAAATATTCTTTGTTTTAAAGTAAACCACAGTGGGATAAGATGCATTAACAAGTTAGGTAATAGACCTTGCGAGGACAGTTAGGGCCAACTTGTGTGCTGAGACCAAAAAAAAGGCAGTCAGTTACAATAGACAAGCAGCCAAATATAGCAACTATGTACAATCATTAGCTGGGAGAGAAGAAGTAAAATGCAGCTGCAAATAGATGAATTGGAATATGTCTTAATTAATTATATACCCCCAACCCAAAACAAACAGAAAAAAACAAAAAAAACAAAACAAACAACAAAACAAAAAAACCCAGTATACAATAGGTTCATCATAAACGTACCTCCAAAACTCTTCTGCAGCAGTCATGCCAGGGACTGTCAAAGTGACTTTACTGATGTTGCTATCAATGACTTGGGTATCATTGGTTGAGTAGTAGTTCCAGACGCTGCTGTCGAGGCCATCTATACATCCAGGGGTGTTCCAGGAGTGGTCACAGCTGGTCCAGGGGAGGTCGGCGAAGAATGAGTGGTAGAAGTAGTACATAAACCAGCTGAATATGGCTAGGTAGTATGTTACAAATATCCAATTAACTAGAGCAATCCCGAGTCCAAGGCCTGGAAAATAATTCAAAGATGCACAATTCTACATTCTATCTATCTATATATCGTCTTATGAATATGTTTATGTGTTTTTCCCATCCTCTGGATTACTTGAGGATATTTTACTGAAATGCTGTTGAATATGTGCGTGTGGGTGAGTATGCGAGCGAATGAGTGTTATAGGGCAGTAGTATCGCTTTCGTAATAACATGTTTGGTATAATCAGAATATATTTAATGACCAAAGAGGTGTTGTTGCGTCAGTGAGTTAATATTTAACGTCACATCGGCAATATTTCAGCCATATCGTGACGAGAACATGCGATATTAGAATGAAATATATGTATATTATAAAAAACCTGCCGACGAAGGACAGTAAAAATACTAGATAATCACAGCTATCAATATAAAACTAGCGAACAAAGCTAAAACATTCCAATTAAAGAAGACAATAAAATGTAAAAATGGGCTATAAATCGCCAACAACTGAAGGTAGATCACCATACTAGAGACCATGGGGACTTACAGTGCCTTTGCTACCTGCATGGACCCTAGTTGGATTTACACCATCCCTTCAGCCATTGGCGACAGAAGAGAAATCTAGCCATAAATTAAAAACACACTTATTCTACGATTAAAAAGCAGGTACACTTAAATTGACTTTGAAAGTTTTGGGACTTACGTACCCCCTCAGGAGGACAATAGTTTTACGCTACGTCAACCCCCTTTGAGGGTACAGCCACTAACAATCTAAGTTGCTAATCTAAACTACCAATAATAAAATATATACCTATTTACAAATCAGTCAACAAATCTAATTTTAAAAAAAATGCAAGAATTAAATGAGAACTGACATTATTAAAAAGATCCTTCAGTGTTTTGGATGTGAAATAGATATCCCTTGTGATGGAATATTCAATGCAGTCAAGCAAGACATGCTTGACTGTGATCCTTTCATCACAAGGGATACAAAACGGAGGATCTTCGCCTTTCAATAAATATTCATGAGTATATCTGGTATGGCCAATGCGACATCGTCGCATAATGACCTCCTCAAATCTGGACTGACAACCCAAGAAGGTGTAACCAATGTAGGGTTTTATTGCATGTAATTTATTAATACCTACTTGGGTGTCCCACTTCTTTTGCATTAGATCGCGGATGTATGTTCTAATGCTGGCTTTATAATCAGAGTATGGGATAAGAAGTGGTGTCACAGATTTGTTGAGGGCTGCCTTAGCAGCAATATCAGCCATGGTGTTCCCAGAAATGCCAACGTGGCTCGGTAACCAACAAAAGACGATGTCGCATTGGCCAGTAGCAAGTTCATTGTACAATTCAAAAATTTCTAATAAAAGTGGATGTTTGCAAGACAGATTTTTAATAGCCTGAAGACACGAAAGAGAATCTGAAAAGATGATATATTGTTTATATTTACGGTGTTTATTAATATATTTAAGAGCTGTTAAGAGTGAGTGAGTGAGTGAGTTAATATTTAACGTCACATCGGCAATATTTCAGCCATATCGTGACGAGAACATTTGATATACATGTATATTACAAAAAACCTGCCGACGAAGGACAGCAAAACAACCAGAATATCACAGATATATATGTAAAACTAGTAACTGAATCTAAAACATTTTAACTATAGGGGACAACACAATATAAAAATGGGCTATAGATCGCTAACAACTGAAGGTAGATCACCATACTAGGGACCATGGGGACTTACAGTACATTTGCTTCCTGCATAGACCCCAGCTGGATTTACATCATCCCCTCAGCTGTTAGCAATTGAGATATACCTAGCCATACATAAAATTACACATATTCTACGATTAAAAAACGGAAAGTTGAAATTTACTTTGAATGTTTTGGGACTTACGTACCCTCTCAGGAGGACAATAATTTTACAGTACTTCAACCCCCCTCGAGGATACAGCCACTAACAATCTCAGTTACTAATTCAAACTTCCAATCAAAAAATATTTAGCTATTTACAAATCAGTCAACAAGTCTAATTCTTTTAAAAAGTCAACTATCAAATGATAACCAACATTATAAAAAAGATCCTTCAATGTTTTGACATTAAAAAACTTATCCCTTGTGATGGAATATTCAACACAGTCAAGCAGGACATGCTTGACTGTGATTCTTTCATCACAAGGGATGCAAAACGGAGGATCCTCGCCTTTCAGTAAATATTCGTGAGTATATCTAGTGTGGCCAATGCGACATCGTCGCATAATGACCTCTTCATATCTGGACTGACAACCCAAGTAGGTGTAACCAATGTAGGGTTTTATTTCATGTAATTTATTAATACCTACTTGGGTGTCCTGACTTCTTCTGCATTAGATCACGAATGTATGTTCTAATGCTTGCTTTATAATCAGAGTATGGGATAAGAATTGTTGTCACAGATTTGTTAAGGGCTGCCTTGGCAGCAAGATCAGCCATTGTGTTCCCAGAAATGCCAACGTGGCTGGGTAACCAACAAAAGACGATGTCGCATTGGCCAGTAGCAAGCTCATTATACAATTCAATAATTTCTACTAAAAGTGGATGTTTACAAGAAATACTTTTAATAGCCTGAAGACACGAAAGAGAATCGGAAAAGATTATGTACTGTTTATGTTTAGGATGTCGTTGAATATATTTAAGAGCCGTTAATATGGCGTTTGCTTCTGCTGTAAAAATGGAGCTGTTATCTGGTATTCTAGAAGATATTGTTCTGGATCCCAATGACAGTGGCACATGACACCGCGCCACCGTCCTTGGACCCATCTGTAAATAAGGATTTGTGTGTATTATATTTAGTTTTTAGTTGATTATATTCTTGTTTATATTGTAATTCATTAGTTTCCGATTTTTTAAACTTTGTCAGAGTTAGGTCAACTTCAGGCCTAACCAGTTGCCAAGGAGGAGAAGAAAGAAGACGGGAAGGAGCTATATTTTCCAGCTCAATGCCGGCAGCAGACAGGAATGGCTTAATTCGGTGCCCAAGAGGCGGAACAAGAGAAGGTTTTTTTTGTTGTATAAATCCTCATAGAGGGGATGAAAGACACAGTTATATGCAGGGTTAGCCTCATTAGAATATAGTTTAGTAATATATTGTAAAGATAATTTTATACGGCGTTGTGCAAGAGATGGCTCATCTGCCTCGACGTAGAGACTGTCAACAGGAGAAGTTCGAAAGGACCCAAGACAAAGTCTCAGGCCTTGGTGGTGGACAGAATCTAAAAGTTGTAGGTTGCTTTTGCAGGCTCCACCATATACAATGGAGCCATAATCAAGTTTGGAACGGACCAATGATCGATACAGATGTAAGAGGGTAGCTTGATCCCCTCCCCACTTAGAATTTGAAACGACTTTCATCAAGTCAAGTGCCTTCAGGCATTTAGTTTTTAGGGATTTAATATGCGGCAGAAATGTTAGATGGGAGTCAAAAGTTACACCCAAGAACTTGGCCTCCTTAACAACTTTGATGGGAGTGCCATCCAAAGATAGTTCTGGGTCTTTATGAGGTTTGTATTTACGACAGAAATGAATACAATTAGTTTTGGATTTAGAGAATTTAAATCCGTTTTCAAGACACCATTTATCTATTTTGTTTAAACACAACTGCATTTGCCGTTCAATAGTATGCATATTTTTCCCACGACAAGAAATATTAAAATCATCCACAAATAATGATCCATCAATTGAATTGTTTAAAACCTTGGATAAACTGTTGATCTTAATACTAAACAGGGTGACAGACAAAATACTGCCTTGCGGGACACCCTGATCCTGATTATAATGATCAGACAGGGTTGAACCCACTCGGACTTGAAATTGTCTATCATTTAAAAAAAGTTGGATATAAATTGAGGCAAACGGCCTCGTAATCCAAAATCATGTAAATCTCTTAAAATGCCATATTTCCACGTTGTGTCATATGCCTTCTCAAGATCAAAAAAGATAGACACAGCGTGTTGTTTATTAATTAGAGCGTTTTTAGCAAACGATTCCAAACGCACTAAGTGATCGACAGTACTTCTGTTTTTACGGAAACCACATTGTATATCTGTTATGAGGTTATTTGTTTCCAAGTACCAAACAAGTCGATTATTGATCATTCGTTCCATGGTTTTGCAAACACAGCTAGTTAGTGAAATAGGTCGATAATTGGACGGATCTGTATGATCACGTCCAGGTTTAGGTATTGGTACTACTATAGCATCACACCATGAGGGAGGAAATTTACCTGATGTCCAAATTTCATCAAAAATATTTAAAAGAGTTTCTAGGCAGGGTTCTGGTAAGTGCTTCAGGAGTTGATAATGATGGCGTTTGCTTCTGCTGTAAATATAGAGCTGTTATCCGGTATTCTAGAAGATATTGTTCTGGATCCAATAACAGTGGCACATGCCACTGCGCCACCATCCTTGGACCCATCTGTAAATAAGGATTTGTATGTTTTATATTTATTTCTTAATTGACTAAATTCTTGTTTATACTGTAATTCATTTGTTTCTGATTTTTTAAATGTAGTTAATGTTAGATCAACTTGTGGCCTAACCAATTGCCAAGGCGGAGAAGAAAGAAAACGGGAAGGAGCTATATGTTCCAGCTCAATACCAGCAGCAGAAAGAAAAGGTTTCACTCTGATACCAAGAGGCGGAACAAGAGAAGGCTTATTGTTATACAGATCTTCATATAGTGGATTGAAGACACAGTTATATGCAGGGTTTGACTCATTTGAATAAAGTTTTGTAATATACTGTAAAGTTAATTTTATACGGCGTTGCGTAAGAGATGGCTCATCAGCCTCTACATAGAGGCTGTCAACAGGTGAAGTTCTAAAGGAACCAAGACATAATCTTAGACCTTGGTGGTGGACAGAATCTAAAAGTTTAAGATTACTGTTGCAGGCTCCACCATAAACGATGGAGCCATAATCAAGTTTGGAACGTACCAATGATCGATATAATTGTAGGAGGGTAGCTTGATCCCCTCCCCACTTAGAAT